ATATTGAAATAAAACAGTGACATGAATAGGATATGCATCTTTATTCCAGAGTTAGATCAAACACCACTCAGTTTACCAATATGGGAATAAAAGGAGGTCTTGAACATGGAGGTAGGTATATGATTTTAGTCTGATTTTGAAGAGATATTCATATAGTTAGTACAGATATAGTCAAGCGGACTCACCCAGTTCTTTTCAGCTAAGGGATGTGAAATGATAGCTCCAGTAACATTTACTCTTCCTGAGTCCTATTTCTGCTTCATCTCAACTAATGGCAGGGTACAATTCTAGAATACCCAAAAGAATCACAGTAACATTTGGTTTTGGGAAATATCTTCACACTAAATGGAACCTTTTCCCAGCCAGAACAACACAAGAGAGGTAAGGTATAAACAAAAACCAACTCAGGATAGCACTTTCTCAGATAGGTTCCTTCCCTTCATAAAAGATATTTATAAAACTGTGCCTATACCTGTGGAAAGACACGTAACTTTACTACTTCTATATTCTCAGAGTAGAATGTAGAATTAACAGACAAAATTTCATCTTGATACTGCTTGCTAAAGTAATGTCACACAAATCTTTTGTATATCAAAAGACCATAAATATATTAAGAAGAAAACTTCTGATTTCTCCTAGTAATGTTTAATGTTAGAGTATGTCTGAAATATTGCTCACAAAACTGATAGTAATTTTTTACACTAAAAAATAAATAATATGCTATACTTAATTATAGTATGCAGTATACTGATGCAGTTTCCCCAAATCATCTTTTCTTTCCCATTTCAATTAACATGCTTAAAAACATATTGATAGCAAAAAAGCTGATGACTATAAATAACTGTTACACCTGTAAATGAATTCCTTATTAAATGAAGGTGTTCTAGAAATGCTGAAAGCTCAGGAAAAAAGTTAACAGTTATTAACACAGGCAAGAAGAGAAAACAGTGACAGAAATTAAATGGCCTTTTGAAGTAGATAAAAATAAGGGCTTAAAGAGTCAATATTAATACTTTCTACCCATTCCATGACTTATTGGTGGTCCTGCTTTTAAGACTAGTGCTTTTTCAGTAATGAACCACTTTTGCAGTGTGGGATAGTTTTTCAATCAAATTAATCTACGTTTCCTTTAAACATGAATTGGCCAGATTAATCTCTGGTGCAATTTCTTTGACTTCTAGTAAACTATGCCAAGGATGAATTCCTGCCTTGATCATTGTACCTATGGCATTAAGACAGTACTCTACTATTCTGCTCTTGGAAAATTAAGAAATTACACCCATAAAATCTTCCTTGGTTTCCTTTAGGTAAAACAACAAACAAGTGCAGCTGTAAACTAAACTAGCCCTACTACTAACTTTTAAAGTTGCATATTAGTTACTATAGGCTGTCTTTGGAAAAGATGACAGTAAGATCCAGACTAAAACAGAAATAAGAGGGAATCTTAGATGTTTGCAGTTCAGTTTTTAGCTCAACTTCAGACTTCCCAAAGGATTTTAGCCAGTGCATAAACAGATTTTCAAATATCTGTACACAAAGTTTGTTTACGGCTGTGCAAAATCTTGATACCTAAGAGTGTGTGGTTTTCTCAAAGCTGAACTACTTTTCCTCAGAGTTTAAGTCTCTTGATAATTTCCCCAAACTAAATCTACTGACATTTCATGTAAGTTTCATCAAAATTTCATAACTCATTCCTTGAAGTGGTTAGTGAAATTAAGACAAACAGTTGATAAGACTTTGCTCCTACTTCTTGGGGATAACGTTAACCGTAGAATCACAAATCTACAGAACGATTTTGAAAGGAAGAACACTTTGGAGGTCATCTAGTCCAACCTTCCTCTCAAAAAATAGATCTCTAAGGTCTTCTTAAATCAAGCCGCTCAGGATCATGTCCAATTTATTCTTTAACACCTCCAAGGACAGATATCTCAAAGTTCTCTGAGAAATCTGCTTCAGTATCTAATCACCCTCATAGATAGAAACCAGACAACCAAGAAACCAACTACGAAAAATCTTATATCTGATGGGAATCAAAGTAGAAACGTAACTAGAGGAAGATTGTTTTACTATTATTGTTATTCACCAATGCACTCATTTCATGTAACTGTAGAAGATACAAAGTTTTCAGAAGATTAAAACAATTTAAAATATTCAATTTATTTTCCAAATAATTCTAAAAGGTACATTCTAGACATACTCTAAAGTGAGGTATGCAGGTAAGTTTACAAAAATTATCTGTTCTACATAAAAAATTACAGGTTTTTTCTCCTTTAAAGATACCTTCTAGATGTATTTTCACTTTCTGGAGGGTAGAAAGTTTCAAGGATAACTGAACAGCTGGCAATTCAAACACATTGAAGGAAAAACACTCTATTCCTGTGCTACCCAAAACATGACTAAGAGGTGGTGATGTTAAGATAGGAAAATCCCAAGTTCTGAGAAAGTCTAAACTTGGATCAAAAAGCACTCTTGACCTGCAGAAACAAAGCAAGACAAATGTACCAAATTAAAAGTAGCTCTTGCAGGAACCCATAGTAGACCATCCTCCATTATGTGCATTTATGTGCAATTTTGAGAATCAGCAACTTCGTCATAAATGCGTAAGGAGACAAATCGCAAATACCACTATGTAGTCCTAAGTGAGATTTTGGGGATCCAGCAAAAGAAAAAAATTAATCACAGTCAGTCAAAAATGAAAGTGACACTGACTGCATTTATGGGACTGGAGGTGGTTTCGAGTCAGCAGTGTTACAATATTAATGGACTTACAATTCAGTTTGGAGAGCTGAAACAGTCCAAGTAAGTTGATATAACAGGAAAGGAAATATTCTTCATAAGTGATAAAACAATGTTCCTTGTGTTTCTCTATTAAAATTTTTTACATCTCTGCCACCTCCCAGTGATCACAAGAAAGTCAATGACCTTCATTTTTTGAGGAAGTGTCTTGGTTCCAGCCAGGACAAGGTTAATTTTCGCAGGCACCAGAAGGGCAGAAGAGGCATGGTCAGGACTCCGGGGTTATTTGATGCCACCTCACACCACGCACAGGGGGTAAGGGGCAGCAGGGCAAGGGTCCTTTCCCAGGGTGTGGGGGTGTGGTCAGGTGTGACGATAACAAGGACATAACAAGTGCTATAACAAGGACATGATAACAAGGACAATGAGCATCATTTGGGATGTGCATTCAGTGTTGCTCTCCTGCCCTTACCTACCTCTGGGTATTTATGAACCTCTGGGGGTAAGAGAGGAGGATGATTTTCCCCAGCTTTCACCCCCTTTCTTTCTTTCAGGTTTGTTACAAGAGCTTTCAAGAATTTTGAATTTTCTTTTTTATTATCACATAATATGCTTTCAAAGTAGGGCAATAGTGAGGTATTACTGATTGAATTGTCAGAAGTGATAGTAAAACTCAGAAAACTGTTATGTTACCTTTAAATAAGGGATATATATATCCCTTTATCATAGATTGATAGATAGATAGATAGGTAGATAGATAGAAAAATACATACATAGGTATATAAGTGACTACGTTTACACACATATATGAAGTTGGAGATCAGATAAGACCAGTGTTGACAGAAATCTACAACTCCTGATTAAGTATCTCTTTGCTGATAAATTTAATATACAAATCCATTCTTAGGCCACAAGGTCTTACACTGTGTCTGATCCCTGATACTGGGGGGAAGGGGGGTTTATATTTTCAGCTTATAAGCTTGAAAGCATTATTCTATTAAATGTTGCAATTATTTTTTAATTTCTAAAACTATCTTACCACTTCCTGTCACCCTGTTAGCTAAAGATTGTGTGTAATGCTGATGTGTTAATAGGGTTGGTTCCACTTACTTTGCACACATAGACACTGTTGTCTCTGAACATTTCAAACTACTTTTTCTCTCAAAAGAGATAACACTGCTTTGATTGCACTGACTTTCTCCTATGGAGGAAAAAATTTTTGCATATAGGTCTTTTATAAAAGGACAACTCATCCGAAGCAAACATTTGTTAGAATAAGACTGTAATTGCTTTAAAATTACAATTTGAACACCTAGAACAATTGTGCTTGTTGTGCATTTTTTGTTTGTTTTGAGGATTTTTGTTTGGGGTTTTTTTGTTTGTTCGTTTTTTTGTTGTTGTTGTTTTGGTTTTGGGGTTTTTGTTTTTTTGTTGTTGGTTGGTTTTTGTTTGTTTGTTTGTTTGTTTGTTTGTTAAATAATTAATTTACCTGTTTTTCAGCCAGGACAGAATTACTTTTTTCACATAGTTGGGAGGGGATGGAGCCTGGGGCTGTGTCGTTGTGTCTAGGCTGTTATTCTGTACCATCTCACTACTGCAGGGTGGCAGTAAGGGCTTCTGAGAAGAAGGTGGACATGGCTTGTGGTCAGGGAAAAGCGTGATGGGCAGAGGGTCCATCCACCATTGCTTTTCATTCCTGAGCATTTTTGCATGTAAATCACCCTCTTTTGTACACTTTTGTTATTAATATTCTTGGTGTTACAGTTTTTCTTATCTCGTTACTTCTTCCAATAATTGTTATTATCTCAACTCATAATCTTTGACTTTTGTCTCCCACCTGAGGAATGCTGGGAGGAATGGCTGTGGTTAAGAGTGCCATTCCTAAACCATGACACTGGTAAAATAAATAAAGCAGAAAAATAACATTTTAAAAACAGACCCCTCAGTTCATAAATTGCAAAATCTAGTGCTTACAAGACTGGGCAAAATATGTGAACACTGTATACATACTTAAAGGATCATAAAATAATTTCATGTGCTAACTACTTTGGCTGAGGACTGAATCATGGAATCCATGATAAAGCTACATCTCAAAAGATTACTGAGATATTGAGCAGTTGTGTCTTGTTAACACAGAAGACAAAGTTTAAGACATTAACATAGAAATATTACATCAAGAATAAACCAGCAGCAACTGAGATCTTGCTATAAATGTAAACATTAATGGGTAAACCATCACCAGTAGAAATAAACCCAAAACTTACTAGGTTGGGAATGCTCATTTTTCACACTTGTGGTGAAAGTCCTCCACTACTTCCCTCATCCAGACTGTTTATCTTCATATCAATCTGATAAGAAAATAAAAACCACAACCATCAGCAAATAAAATAATATAAAATTAAATAAAACTATTCACAAAGTAAAGAATAGTTCAAAAAAAGAAGATATACCCTGGAAGCAAGGTTATGTTATGGATACACAAGAAATAGTAGTTCAGTTTTTATGACCTGTATGCCAGGCTTTCAGTGTGTACTTTTCACTAAAAATAAAACAAAAACTCCCTCTGCCCTCCCCTTTCACACCCTGTCCTAAAGACTGCCAGGATTTCCAAAAAAGCATATTCTTACTAAAAGCACATGCCTTATACTCTTGTCTAAAAGTTTTACTAACTAAAATACAATGTACAGCGAAGCCACAGAAATGAGATAGTCAAACCATAGGAGAAAAAATGTGGGGAAAAAAAAAGAAAAGCAGATTCATCGATTGCCAATATTCAGAGCAAACGTGGGAGTTCTATGCTTTGGTTAAACTCTAATATAGAAACCATGACTGTTTACACAGAAGGAGAGATGTTTCTTCAGATACATTTTACTTGACAATTATGACACTAGCTTATGCTGTTTCACAGAATCATATACTAGTTTGGGGCAGGGGGAAGGGAGAAGTTGGAAGGGACCTTTGAGGGTCATCTAGTCCAATCCCTCTTCAAAGTGGAGCAACATCTTCAGCTAGATCAGGCTGCCCAGAATCCTGTCAAACCTCATCATGAATGTTTCCAGGGATGGGGCATCTACTCTTTCTCTGGGAAACCTGCTCCAGTGTTTTACCACCCTCATTGTACAACAATTCTTTCTTATATCTAATTTAGAGTGACCCTCCTTTGGTTTCAAGTAATTGCTTCTTGTTCTATCACTACATGGCCCCGTAGAAACTCCCTTTCAACACAAACGGCCTCTTTTAGTTATTGAAAGGTGCTCTAAAGTCACCCCACATCCTTGTCTTCTCCAGGCTGAACAATTCCAACTCTCTCAGCCTGTCTTCATTAGAGAGGTGCTCCAGCCCTCGGACATGACCCTTCTCTGCATTCACTTCAACAGCTCCAAGTCCTTCTTATGATGGGGTCCTCAGAGCTGGATGCAATACTCAGTGTGGGTTCAAACTTAGACTGTGGAAGGACATCTTCCTTTTTGGTATAGTTTATGACTGTATGAAAATAGATCTGATATTTTTCTGCCAAGTTTGACTTGTTGTTACACTGCTGGTTTACTACTGTGGCATGTAGTTCAGCAGTGTCTTATTTCAGTAACTTTGTAACTCTGTCAACATTACTTATTTTATATTATTTAGTTTTATTTATTTTTCTACATTCTCTTTCGCAAACATTGGCATTTGAGGTATTTTCTCAAGATCTGTTCCCTCTAAAGAAAAATTTCAGCATAGAAACCTCTCTCAGTTCTTTCACTATAACCAGATAACCAAAGATACAACATAACTGGCATGATACTTTCCTAGTGGCCTAACAGATACAGTACCAGAGGGAATTTCCTCCAGTCCTCACATCTGGGTAATCATGTTACATGGTCTATGTATACAGTCATGTCTCCAGACAAATGGGAGTAATGGAAACGCTGTTCCAGATTCACGTTTTTATCACATTAGATATCTATTTTAAAGTTTACGTGTGTCTGAGGCCAATTAATACTCATTTGTTCCTGATTATACTTAGTATAATTCTTGTAAAATATAATTCTTGCTAACAGAAAAAGATCCAAATCTTTTCCTAATATGTGACTGGAATTTAGCAGACTAAACGAAGAGATCAGAATGATCAGAAAGTAATGAAATAAAAGCAAAAAAGCCCAAATCCCTTAGAGCCCAGAAAGGCAGCAGATAAGAGACAGTGGTAGTAGAGACTGTGAGCCCTTAAAAAGGTCTGTAATCAGTCGTTCCAGCAATATGTGTTATGGTATAGATCAGACTTTATTCATGATGTAAACAAGAGTTTTTAGCATCTTTGGTGAATGAGAGTATATACTGGCACTACAAGAATTTTTTCTTTCTTTTCTTTTCTTTATGAAGATAAAGAAAAAAACCACACAAAACCAAACAAAAAACCAGCAGCAGAGATCCTCAATACCAAACCATATTTCAGATTTTTCCATAAAGATGTAAAGACATGATGGGTTAAGAAATAAGATAACTGCTTATGACTTTTAAAAGTTTATTAAATGTACAGGTGACATTCAGCTCAGACCTTTAAACTGCCAGTCCTGGAATTAAGGAGCATTTATCAAGAGGTTGCTCACTTTATACAAGAATCCTCACTTTCCCTTAACAATATTGGAAATAAACTACTGCTGAGCTTAACATCTGGTCTGAACAAATAAAGAAATTCTCAGGGTGAAAAAATCACATTTTTGCTAAGTTGTTTAAGTCTCTTCCCAGCTGAGAAATCAGAAATATCTTACCATAGAGCAATGCGAAAAAAATTACTGAGGACATGATAAGCATTTGAATCAGGAGCCATAATTATAATTTTTGAGGTTTTTATTTGTTATGCTATCATTTTATTTTTTTTATCTTATCACAACTAGGAATGTTCAGTGATAATATGTTATCTTACTCACTAAACAGTACCTTTTCAAAGGGACTATTTATAAACAAACATATTTTCTCAGCGTAATCTAAGAACATTGAGGCTTGATTTTAATTGTGTGACACAGAAAAAAATTGAGATGGCACCTGCAGAAAGAGCAGCTCCCAGCAGTAAATCTACCATTAAGTTATTACCCAGTTAACACACTGCATGTATCTGCAGTCTGACATCCCCATCACTACCAAAATAAGTGTCAAAATTCATATGTCAAAATACATGCATTAAATGGAGTGGTCTTTCACATGACAGAAAAGATCCCACTCATTACATTAAAATTAAATGACATATTTTCTAAAAGGATGTTGTGCACACATATACATTTCAGCTGCAAGGATAAGATGCTGACTCTGCCCACAACTGAAATGCAGCCTCATGAACAAGATGCAATAAAGGCCCTATGGGCAGTGGGCTTGAAAACTGAGTATTTTATTAAATTGATCTCCTGTAGGAGCCCACTCGTTCTTCTATTTTTTAATAGAAGAATCAGATGGTTTACATGGTTTGTTTGACCACAAGTGAAGGATTAAACCTAATGTTAGAAAATAGTGAAACAAGATTTCCTATAAGCAGTAAATTAGTTTTTCTACCATTGTCAGCAAAATGTTACTAAATTCAGAAATACAGTGCCTCCTTACCTCCTTTCTTATTCTAAAAAGCCAGTTTCTATTTGATACAACAATAGTCTTGTTAGAAACAAGAAAATTTCAAGAAATTTGTCCATGGGATTAATGTACCAGTTCTTGGGATTTCTGTTTCTGGAGAGTAGAAAGCAAAAGAGTAAAGTATCTCTGAAAAAACAGAGCCTTTATTGATAGTGTTTGAAAGGGACACATGCTAGTGTACCTTTAAAAAGATGGATACATTTAAAAAAAATGTTTTTGTTGGGATTGTTCTGCACTGAAACTTTTATTGCTCTAATAGATTACATTCTTACACCATAAGGATGGTGTACCTATTTGAAAGTTAAGAGATTATTGTTTGATAAAGTGTTTTTTTACAGGAATTTTGAAAAGAGCTTTGGGATAAAATTACATGAGTTTCAATATAAATAAAGAAATTAGAAACCTGTAAAAATTAAACAGGCACTTGACAAGATATTGTTGTGGCAACCAGACATAGAGTGTGAATCAGTAAAATGCAAGTAAAAGATTTAAGAAAATTTGTTATATTACAGAGCTTATACTAAAAAAAGTGGTATTAAACCTCAATTATAAACTTTTGCTGCTTCTGGCTCTGTGTTGGGGAGAATGGGGGAAGAAAAAAAATACATCAAACATTTCTCTTAGTAATGCCAAAATTACAAGCAACCAAGTTAAATCTGTCCTTTCTAGTTTGTTCAGTGTTGGACGAAAAAAATGTGTTTCACTTGTGTTCTATCTTTGTATGATTATATAGAATGTTAAATCAGGTCTTATCTCAGCCTTTTTAAAATATCAGACCCTATTATTCCTGCTCAGCATTGTCTCCTAGCTACACTCCCCATTTACTAAACAAGTGCATTATTTTTATCCCAAGAGATATCATCTTTGCTTAGAAATACAGGGAAAGTACAAATGCTGTAAAATTCTCTGACATGGTGAAGTGTGGGGTCTCACTGGAAGCAGTCATGAGTAGTGACTGTTCTGTCCCTGGGGAAATGGTAGATGGGGCAGATGCAGAAATTTCTACTCATTCACAGCTCATACTGCCAAATAGTTCACTGCACAAAATAAGCTTCCCTCACATCTACAGTTTGCATTTTTCATGTTTCCTTTTCTGATATTTCCTACAATGACAACTCTAAAAGATACCAGAGCATTTTTAAAAAAGCGCTTCCTCAGGGATGTCTTAGACTTCAACCAGTTTAAGCTGTGCAACAATGATTTTCTGAGCAGACTCCTTAGCTTATACTGGTTCCTGCAGCGATGATAGCAGTTGTTCCTACATTTCACATACAGGGAAATGTAATAACTTACATTCAGCTAGAGAAGTTAAGGTTATTTCAGACAGAGCTGTCATCTTAGATTCCTAATTATTTTAATTATAGTGACTACAGTACTGAGAACACTACGTTGATCTGTTACATCACGTACTACAGTAACTAAAATCCATGTTTTTAAATCATGGATTATTTTAGCCTCCTCCACTAGTACTCTGAATGGTGCTCATGTCTATCTTAATGTCCAACTATATTTAACTCAGGTTCAAAATCCAACCATCACCTACTTAGAGCGCTTAGGATTTTATGTTTCCTTATCCTTCTGAATCACCCTTATCTTCTTAACTTGCCAAATTTTGTCTTCAGGACTATATCAATGATACTAGATGAACATAATGATTTTTCTTCTTTTCACTGAATACCTTTACTCTTCTTCCAGTGTTAGCTTTCTCTCATCTCATCAACTCAACAATAGCATATCTGGAAGGAAAACC